GTGCAGCTTAGTCCATTATAGTTCAGGCCCCACCTGGTATGCTGATAGCTCTGAAACCATTAGCAAGTTTCCACTGGTCTGAACCTGGTGTTCCTGCATAGTTCACATTTCGGGCTCCACAGGAGTAACCTTCAAAGCCATGCCAAAGCCTAGCCCGCAGAGCAGCTTCCTTTCACTCTTAGTGTTAATGGATGAGAAGTCACTGCACCTATCTACGAGGCAGCCTGTGCTGTGTTGACACAGAACATAGTACGTACGATTAAATCAAGCTAATAAGTACATCCAACACCTCTGTTAGCATTTTTGTGGCAAGATATTTGAATTTTACTATTAGCAATTTTGAAATAGACAGCATGTTGTCATTAATTACCATGATGAAACTAGCAAGGAGAGAGACCTCAGAACTCGCTGAGATCGGGGGAGAGGGACAACAGGGCCTTGGCTTTGTGGAAGTTTCCTAGATCTTTTCACAAATGGATTTGGCCCTCCACTCTCCAGTTGACATTCTTGTAGCTGGAATCCAGGTTTCCCACCTACCTTCTGCTCAGACACCCTGCAGGGTCCCTTGCGTGCTGCTTTGCTAGATAATTAATACAACCTAACTGAAGTTTTCTTCCTATGGCACATTGTCCTTCTGGGCATCTATCGCAAGCCTGCCCTTCCACGTTTCCCTCAGTGAAGGCTACCCTTCATGGAGACAGGTGGCCTGAGGTAGGGTCCAGGGAAGACTGTGTATACCAGACACTGTGCCAGTGAAGAACATTTATGTATTATGGGGCTGAACAGCACAAATCCTCAAGCATATCACAGAACCCCACAAGTCTGAGGAAGGAAAGGGTCACTGTCTTAGTGACTTCTCTTTATTGAGACAAAATACCTGACACTGCAAGTTGGAAGAGGAAAAGTTTATGTCACAATTCACAGGGGTTTCAGTCCATAGTCACCTCTTTCCAAGGCAGGATAGCATGGCATGGGAGATTACAGAGAAGAAATAGTTCATGGCAAGCACGCAGGAGAGAGCAAAGCAGTGAAAAAGCAGAAGCAGCAGCAAGCTTTCTTTCTCTCTTTTATATTCCATCCAGGTTTGGGCAGGTAGCATTCACACCTTGGGTAAGGCACCCTTAATCCCAGCATCACATCCTTAATCCCAGCATCATTCACCCTAAATCCAGGCACATCCAAAAAGTCCCACCTATGAGTGTATGAGGCTTTGTGCGGACATCTAGATACAAGCCATAAGAGCTACACAGCCCCTGACCAGGCCCCCTCAAGCCTTTGGTTGCTCACACCCCATTCTGGAGAAGCCAGTGAGTAGTTCAAGCTAAAGAAAATTGTAGGAGAGAGAAGCAGAGCTGTTCTCACTCCATCTGGCACAATATGCTCCATCCAGGCAGAGATAAGACACCCAGGAGAGTGGCCAAGAGTCCCACTTCAGGGTTTACAGTGCAAAGGGTCCTTGGCACATTCTTTCTGAGGAATGGGATGCACAAGTAAATGGACATGTCAGTAGAGGGGGAAGGCTCTCAGAATAGAGAGAAGTATAAGTTGTGGTCAGATAGCACTATTAATATTTAAATAAAAATGGTACTATAGTAAAAGACATATTGCCACAAACTCCCTAAAAGCAGTCACTCTCATTTTAAACAGACTCATCCCAGTGTTACTGCAACTTTCTGAAGCAGTTCTGGAGGCTTTCTTTCATGAGTGTCTTGAGTTGTGCTGTTGTGGCAGCCTCAGTGTCCTGAATCCATTCAAAATATTTACCCTCTATGGTCATTTTGACTTTAGGCAAAGGCCAGAAGTTACAAGGTACCAGATCTTATGCATAAGGTAGATGAAGACCCACTGTAATGTTTTCATGAGCCTGTTCTTCCACTGGATGACACTAGCAATAGCATTCACTGAATTTTTGACCAGACTTTGTAAAGAAACATGAAAGAAGACTTCTGGAAGTGCTTACATGATGGGATAAATGTGTTCAAAGTGAAGGGAAGTATTTTCAACGGGATTAATGGCAATGTGCTTTTTACTGTAACAAGTTTTTTTTATTTAAATACACCATATTTTTGGTAAGTCCTTGTACAAGCATCAAATTCCAGGAGGAAAGCTGCTGGAGCCAATGGGAATGAACGAAGCTGCTCCTCCCACCAGAGCTGGCTTCGACTGAGTGGAAATCACCTGCTCCACATCCTGAAGCCATGATGAATGTGTCCAAATATGAACAACAAATCCTGGAGGACTATATTTGCAGTGCCATGTAAACTGCTCCAGGGAGTAAACTATCCTGCTGTGATTTTATATTAATCTCTGGCTTCTGGCTGGTCACAGGATGTCACATTCACTATAATTAGACTTGAGAAATGTGTACAGCAAGAAAGAAATGGTGTCATTAAGGCAACCTATCAGATGCCTGACCACATCCTTCACAAGTATACAGAAATGCACCCATCCTGGGTGTCCCATGCTGCCCTTCAAGGTGGGGTGCCAGGCTCAGGAATCCCAGGAACTCCAAAGCTGCTGTCACTACGCTCCTCTTCAAGAGAACCTGTTTTCCATACCAAAATTGATCTAGTCAGGTTGTTCGCACATGGAGCCTGTGTGGGTGACTTAAAGGAAAATACAAGTAGGGTCTTCAGTCACTGACTTTGCATTTGCATTCTGTCACAAGAGGGAGATGTAAAGAATGCATGGAGTCGGGGTGGATTTAAATAGCCAAACCAACAAGTGACACAGGGCTTCTGGAAACTGCTTTTGCCAAGATGAGTTAGGACAAAGCAAAGCTTTTTGCCTTCCAGCAGATTTCACTCAAGGACTGTCTTTTCATACCAAAAGGTTGGCTTTTGATATCTATTTTGAAGAGCAAGAAAAGGGACTAAATCAGGTAACAGGACATCTAAGCTAAGCTGTTCAAGGTAACCCCACTGGCCTGAGATCTGCCTCCCCAAGGTCTACGTCCTCTGCCCTCAGTCATTAACAAGGAACACTGGATTCAAGTCCCAGGTATTCCTTTCATGAATCATGGGATACAACTTCCCTGTCACAGGTTATTAGAGTCGCAACCCCCAAGTGGCATGGCCCTCTGGCCATTTCCCTCTACTGACTCTGGCCTTGGCCAGGGCCTTGCTTTGGCCAGTGATGAGTGAGTAACACAGCTGGGAATTGACAAGCACCAGTTCAGTGGGATGTGTATCTCAGCTGGTCTTGTCACCTCCTGTCACTGTGTGCACACCAGGGCTACTCCACACAAGGTGTGGAACAAGGCCTGGTCGCCCTTGTTGCCTGTCCAAGCCTACACACATGCAAAAAGCCCTCCTTGCCAGACTGCAAAACATAAATCAGCTAAGCCTCACCCCAAAGGGCCATCCCCTGGACCCTGGACCCTGGACCCTGGACCCTGGACCCTGGACCACAGACTTATGGGATAGTGGGTTCAAAGCCCATCTCTTCAAAGTCCAACAAAGGCTGTTTCAGTCACTAAATTTTGGGGAGGTTGTTCTACCACAGTTGCCAACAGATATATTTCCTAAACCTCAGCTGTCTCCTCTGCAGGTAAGATGGAGACAGCAGGAACACCTCCCTGGGAGGACAGCAGTGTGATTCAGAGAGGCAGTGACTTGAGCGCTGACAGTAACAGACCTCACCCACTGCTGGCTCTTGTCAATAACAGGCGATTCATCAATCACAGTTTCAAATCAAATGTCATCAACACTTTTTCTGAATATCTAAATTTTAATAACAGCTGATACATAAGAAATGCAAGCTATAATGGTTAAGAAAAATTGTCCTAGCTAAAAAAAGTAATGCAAGGAGGACTTATCACATTATTTCTTCCACCATTTCATGTCCAGTGACAGTAAAATGACTAACAAGAACTCACAGTGAACACTGTAGGCACATACTGTGCTCAACCCTGAGCATCAGCTAGAAGACTGACCTGTCGGGGGAGGCAGCACGGTCCCCAAGACAAGCACACTTTCTGCAGAAACGCTGAAGAAAAGGCCTCCAGCTCCCACAGGCAACCGATATCCCACCCCTGAGCAGCTTGGTGAGCCAGCCATGATTTCTGGCTGATGCTCTTTAGACAGATGGCATAGAAGGGATAAAAAAAAATAACCACAGAAAACAAGGATAACCTGGGTAATTTGTGAGCCATGTTGTCTGGGGGCACTAGATAAGTTTTTACAATATTTACCGTACAAATATCAAAGACCAGGAAAAAGTCACTTACTGAAAAGGATATCATGGTTGAAGGACGAACACAAAGCTCTCGGGTACTCCCACTCCATGCACCCAGCACGTCCTCAAAGTTCACTCTTCATCCTGCCACTGAGCACAGCAGCTACCGAGTGCTGTGGAGGGAGCGGGAGCACAGAGCGGGGTGGAAGATGAAGCCAGTGCCACTTAGGAGTCTGCTTTGGGCCTGTGCACTGCCAGGCTGGCATGAGGACGATGCCGTGGTTCCGATTTTAGATGAGGAAGGAGCATGAACCATGAGCCAGACTTTGAATTCAGCCTTTCTGATGACCGACCCAGAATCCCTGCTCATCCTAAGAGAAGATAAGGAAATGGAAAGTATCATGATGAAGTACCGGGAGAAACAGTAGCAAATCCGGGAGTATCTGCTGCAGCACTCTAGTATTTACAGAAGTAAAAACAGAGGGGTAGATAGACAGAAAGAGAAGGGAACCCTGCCTGAAAAAGTTCACCTTCTGGCATTTGCCCAGATTTGATAGAAAAAGAGTCTCAAGTGGAACAAAAGACAGGAGTGAGGGCTGAGGGATTATCTTCTTGATATTAAAAGAAGCTGAGATATTCCCCCTTGTAAGGATTATTATAAGAGCTATTGGTAAGGTCTGTTATTTTAAAAGAAAAATGGGCTTTAACATGTTCTTCAGACTGTAGGGCTAAATCTCTTGAGCGGATGACTGGAACTTCTGTCAGAATGACATTTTTATTCTCTCAAGAAGCACTTATTAAACACTTGCTAAGAACAATGCAAAATGTGGAGAGAGCCTGAGAAAGAGGCCAAGCGCCTGGGAGCGCTTCTCAAGCTGGGGAGGCTCCAGGATGTGAGCAGTGCAGGTCAGTCATGTGGGGGTGGGGCACCCACTCAGGTGAGGAGGCCTCAGCTGCCAGGATCAGATGCCACCTGGCCACTGAAGAGCTCAAGTGATAGTTGAATAGTCAAAAAAAAAAAAATTTAGCATTACCAAATATTGAACCCAAGACATTTACACAGGGCTACATCCCTAGCTGCCCTCTGCCTTTATTTTGAGATATAGTCTCATCAAGTTGCCCAGGCTGGGTTCAAACTTGTAATCCTCCTGTTTCAGCCTCTTAGATGGCTAGGAATTCCAGCATCCACCAGCATGCCCAACAAGCAGTCAGTACTTAAGGAAAATCCATTGAGGGGCCTCTAGAGTCTTCAATTTTCCAAACAAAGTGTCTGCCAGTGTGAGGCATGAATCAACGATAGTGTCAAAGCGAAGGGAACTGACTTCACTAACTACAAAAACAGTTACCACTTGTGATACATTTCCTTAACTCAGAATTAAAGTCTTTTTCTTAATCCAGTGTGCTATCTATTCACCATGCAGATAACATGGAGCTAAAGTGGCTAGAGAAGAAAATAACATCTGACAAGGCCCAGAGAAATTTGAAATTTGGATAAGCAGTGAATAATGATTTTAGTGAAACTGAGTCCCAAATATTGCCAGAGTATTGTCTTCTAGTAACACTAGTTGGAAGCAGTAGACATCTGAGAATGTTCTGTGGGATTTGCTGCATTTCTTGGACCAGCAGAGCTGTCGACAAGGAAGCTTCCCCAGTCTAGGTAGGGCCCCACTGCTGACTCTTTTTGGTGTATGTCAATTGAAAGATTACTGAACGCTTTCTACCTGAAGGGAACAAATGAATTTTCAGTGTGGAGAATATTTCTATAATGGGAAGAAACAATTATCTAATACATATGCTCAGTGCTTGTGGCTTTACCTTAAATCAAATATTTTCACATCTCTCCCAAACACAGCAGTTTTATTCTAAAGTCAAGAAACTTTGCAGAATGAGTGTAGAATCAGAACTCATCCAGGAAAGACTGTGTGTGTGCTCTTTTTAGAAGCACATATACTAAAATTGGAAGGACTATGTGGCCCTATGATTCTGACCATTTTGTACCACAGTTTGCAATGGCCCAGATTACACAGAAAAGAATCAAGATCAAAGCTGATGTTATGCCTGTCAAACTGTATCCCCTGGGGAACAAACTTGGGACACTTTTTTCTAGAAGCTACCAAAAAATAAAACAATTCTTGAGCTCTGGATTAAAAACTTTTTTTTTTCTTTTTTTGCATTTAAGCATGTTTGTTGATTCAACGACCAATGACAAAGAAATTACAAGATTTGGATTAGACAGGACTGCTTTTTTATTAAAATATAATGTGCACAGTCAGAACAATGTGGGTAGTATATACTGGAAATCCTGTAAAAACTAACACTTTCTAGTGAGATTTATATGTTTTCTAGTAATTATCCTCATCACTCAGTCATGCTTACAAGGTGACTCTATACCTAAATACAACCCCACAAGAACATTCTTTAAGTAGGAAAGACACTATAATGCTAGTAGTAATAAGAAGCTGATATGGCTTGTATCTGGATGTCCCCCCAAAGCCATATGTGGTCGTAGGTGGGGCTTTTCAGAGGTGGCTGGATCTATCGTGCATGACAGTGGGGTCATTGATTCACAGTGCGATGCTAGGATTAAGGTCAAAAAAAGGGCCGCTGTTGTCATCACTTATTGCTTGTAGCTTGCTGCCTTCTTCCCACTGTGAACTGCTTCTCCTCTGTGATGCCCTTCTGCCATGCCATCCTGCCTAGAGCCAGCCAACTATGAACTTAAACTTTGCCATAATCATATAGTGGTTAGTACTTACATTGTGAACTTCAACTTCTACAAACTGTGAGCCAAATAAACTTTTCCTCCTTCCACTTTGGGCATCAAGTACTTTGTCTCAGCAATGAGAAAAATAACTAAGACAATGCCTTTTAAAAACTGTTTTTATGAAGAGGGCTCAGTCGCAGAAAATCTGTATCAGGCCTACTCACTTTTCCTGTATGGAACCAAGACTTCATTTATCTTTAAATCTAAAATGCAAATGATTCTTAAGTCTTATTTTTAAAAAAGACAAATTGTTAAACAAAACATAAACATGGAGAAATAATCTTGATAAAAATGGGAGGACCTAGATATAAACAAAGTTATTGATTAGACTAACAGACAAAAATAATGAAGTGAATAATAAAGTGAACAATAAAAAAATAACTCACTGAGAGTAAGAAGGTCTACAATTGAACAATTTCTGGAAAACGTGTTTGAAATATTCTTTGCATTTAAAGGCCCTGAAAAGTTTAGCAACAAAGAATCATATAAATTATATCTAATCCACTACTTCCACATTTCACTGAGGATCGGATAGCTCTTTTTCTACATACCTATTATCAATCTAAAGAACAATTTCCCAGGAAGTATTAATTTGAGGAACAACGGGTAGTAAAATGGATTGGGTGTTTGTCTTTCTTACTCAAACCTTTAGAAAGAAAGGAGGTGCTACTGAAAAAAATAACTTGAGATTACATTGACACATGCTGTCAGTGAAAAGCACGCTGTCCACTTTCCACAGGACTGCATATGGTTTCCAGCCTTCTGCTCTAGCCTTCAGAGGGACCTTCTGAAGCCGGTGGAAAGCCAGGTCTACAGAACCTCCAGCAGGGGGCTCTGTACCCTAGCACACACTGTGAAGGGCCTGAAGGTGGTTCAAGGTCAAGATGGCTCAACAAGTAACAAGCCAGAAATGTCATCTGGCTCACAAGGACACAGCAGCATAAATGTCTAACCATGGTCCAGAAATGTTGCCATGAGAAAAATCTGTCCTCAGAACTTCATTATCAGGTTTTATCCTGTTTACATTTTCAAATATAGCTGAGGATCCAAATTTTAAAAAAATTTATATATATAAATATATAGATTTATACATTAAATCTAAATATTTATATATATATTAGAAACCAAAGAATTCCTATGAAATAATTACCAAGTTATGGAACTACCATGAAAATATTTAAAAGTTTCTGTACATGATTGAAAGCTCACATGTGCCAATTTTCCATCAAAAATAATGGAGAAAGCTGGGCATGGCGGCACATGTTTGTAATCACCAGGCTGAGGCACAAGGACCGCCGAAGGTTCAAGGCCAGCATGGAGTACATAGTGAGTTCAGGACCAACCTGAACTGCATAGCGAGATGTCTCAAAAAATAAATAAATAAAAATAAAACCAAAAAAGAAAAACAGGAAAAAAACAACAAAAATCAGTACAGAAAACATGAAAGTTAAAAATAAATGGTACGAAATTATTTCCACTGAGATGATGGACAAATACAGTTCTTTGAAAACAATATCTACAAAGTAGGGATGGAGATCGCCTTGAGGAGCAGCAGTTTGGTGAAGTTCTCATCTATAATCTGAATTATTTCTTCTTAATCCCCTTCTTTCTTATTCCCCATATATACCTCCCCTGCTAGAAACCAAACCAAAACCAAAAAGTACTTTTAAATACTTATAATTTGGATAATAAAGAAATAAAAACACTTGGTTCAAGTGTAAACTGCACCACTTTAGCCAGAATAACTGGAAAGACAACAAATAAAGTAGCCAGGAGAGATCAAAGACTCAGAATAGACCTAACTGACACAAGCAGCTTTCTCCTCTTACTTTGCTCACAGGGGACAGTGGTTTCTGGAAGGGGCAGGCATTCCCACTGGGAAGGAAGTGTGCAGCAGGACCGACAGGTGCAAGTAGTTCATGAGTTATGACATTTGGAAGAGAGTGGAACAATTCATGCCCTCCCAACACTTAAAAGGTTTACATTAACACAGGCGCACACACATGAAACATCTCACAAATCAGTCACATCTGTGATACTCTTTTAGTGAAACACCATACTCGCTCTATAAATGAAATAAAGGGGCTGCACTCTGATGTTTACACAGTCCTGTGCCGATGACTCTGGGTATGTGACTACTTTCATCCCACATTTTGATGTCATTTGAGACAATGTTATGTAAAGATGTGATTCTCACATAGTCTGTGACTTTACTAACTTTTGTTAACCTTCCTTAATTTTTGTTAACTTTTGTTAGTCTTCTTTACGAAACTGACTAATTTATTCCAGGTGGGCACTAGAAACTGCCTAGAGAGCAAGTTTGGAGGGGAATGTGGCATGCTGCACATGCGTAAAATGCCTACCAGGGGAATATTTGGGAAGATGGGTTCTCTGTCCTGTCCTTTCAGTGGGAGAGTGACTTCAGCGGAGAGAAGGAGGGGAATGTCCTTTCCTCTGCGCTACCTCATCAGGCAAGGCTCTGAGGTCCACATGGTAGCTATTTCTAGCGGCAAATTATGAGGAACTGGGTAGAATAGCACAACCCTGACGAAAGGGAGGAGTCAGAGAGTCACAGCGCTCATCCAGAGAGCATGCAGCCGATTATCAGCCCCAGCTGGTCAAACCCACGTGGAGGAGTTAGGGACTAAGTGTTATTTTCTGGAGTTTAGGTCACAGAGTTAGAGGCACTAAGAACTAAAAGTAAGCCACTGCTTTATAGAACCAAACCAGAGTGCAAATTTCAAGAGGAAACTGCCCTAAACATGAGCTAAGAAGAGAGGTGTGTTAACAAGTACCTAACAATGGATTCTTTCCGGGAATAAAGCCTTGCTGGGTGGGACTTTACACCTCCCACTTTCTGTGGTATGAATGGTCCCACCCCAGCCTGGTGCCAGCAGCTCAAGGTTCCTGGATGCAGAGCGAGAAAGCACATCAAACATCCTTGGGAGCAGGCCTTTGCGTGCACCATGTGGCCAGAGAGACACAGAGGGAGCCAGCTGAGGTGGATCCAACTTTCCTAGCAGGCTTCCAGACCGCAAGTCCAGGGCACTTTGTTCAAACACAAAAATAATTTCATTTAGGAAGCCTTGGCTCCACGTTGGAGTCACTTCTATTTATCCCAAGTTAGGGTTTGTTTAGAACA